ATTTTTTAAAAATAATACATTTTTATTACATGATATAATATATATTATATTATAATACATTCCATTATATATCTGTTTAATCATTTAATCAGAGTTGATTAATCAATAATCAAGTTTAATCTGTGATTAATCGATATTGGAGTTCGTTGTTGATTATTCTGGTGTTGTGTGTTGTGTGTCAGGTGCGTGAGATGGAGCTGGAGCTGGAGGACGAGCGTAAACAGCGCACACCCCTGTCGTCAGAGACCGTCAGATGATCGGCGGATCGGTGGATATCTGACGGTGTTTGTGGCTCTGTCTCAGGTTCACGATCTGGAGAAGTCGAAGCGCTCGATGGAGCAGCAGCTGGAGGAGATGAAGACGCAGCTGGAGGAGCTGGAGGATGAGCTGCAGGCCACCGAAGACGCCAAGCTGCGGCTGGAGGTCAACATGCAGGCCATGAAAGCGCAGTACGAGAGAGACCTGCAGGGACGAGACGAGCTGGGAGAGGAGAAGAAGAGACAGCTGCTCAAACAGGTGCGCACTGACCACCAGACATGACGTAATCGATAATATTATTTCCTCAATCGAATTTAATATATATAGCAAGCTTTCATATATATATGTCCAATTAATTGAGGAAATAAACAACCAATTAATCTATTATAATATAAGAAAAATATTTATATTTATTTTAGAGAAAAAAAAACTGACATGGGCATTTTCAGTATTTATTCTTGTAATTTATACAGGCTTTTAATATTTATAAAATAAATTATTCTGAGTTTTTGCCTTTTTGTTTGCTTAAAAATATTTTTTATTATTTATATATATCCAACTAATCAAGGAAATAAACGACCAATAAATCGGTTATCTTATATAAAACTATTTTTTTTAATTTTTTTTTTGTTTTAGGAATGTCATTTTTATCTTAAACCATTTTACTTTTTTATCATGTATTGTGAGTAAAAAATATTTATAAAATCCTTTATAAAAAGACTTAAAATTACATGGGTATTTTAATATACTTTTTTTTTAAATATACATTTTTCTAGTTAAACTAGCATTTTTTTTTTTGTTTGTTTTTGCTGTTGTATTTTTACTTAAAAAAAAAAATAAAATTATTTTATATTGTTTAGGTGTATCTGATTAATCAAGGAAATACAGTACCAATAAATCAATTATCATATATAAAAATATTTCTGTATGTTTAATTTCATCTTTTAAATTAATATTATTTAATTTTTTTAATCAGATATTGTAAGAACTGTTTTAACTGTTTTAAAAAACGTTAAAAATTAATATTGCTTGAAGCTTTTTTCTTTAATTTACAAAGAAGTAAACAACCAAGTAATTATTTTATCATGTATATATATATAGCAGCACTAATTTATTTTTTGCTGTTTTTTTTTTTATTTGAAAAAAAATATTTTTTTATATTATATTATTATTACAGGCCAACAAGAACCGCGACGAGGCGCTCAAACAGCTCAAGAAAGTGCAGGTTCGTCTCTTACACCATGAGCTGCTTGAAGGAGTTGAATGTATTGTCTGTCGTAATGGATGTCATGCTACACAACATCACTTAATAAAGCAATAAGCCCCGTGAAGCCGTGGTTTACAGTGAATTTATAACAGCTAAGGGCAGGGCTGTACAGTGCGACATTATACTTGTGCTACAACTTTTTGGCCTGTGCTACAAAACTTTCAACCTCTGTAGCACCAGTGCTATGTGAAAAAAAAGTTAACGTACAGCCCTGGCTAAGGGGTCTTGTTAGGTACGACGTGAAGCGGAGTTATAAAACCCCCTTAGCTGTTATAAATTCACTGTAAACCACGGCTTCACAGGGCTTATTGCTTTTATAAAACGGTTATTCCATATACATAGTAAGGTTTCACAAAATAAAACAGAGCAAATAAAGTGTAATGATATTAATAAAAACAGTATTCTTCCACCAAACAATGTAGCTCCTCAGAAACAGTTGTGGTTCCAACAAAGTGGTTGCTGAGAACCAAACGTAAACAAAGGTGTATGTCTGTAGAGTAATTTACAACAGCTTCGAACGCAGCTCAGCCAATCAGAATCAAGGACCGGAACTCTCTGTTTTATAAAACAAGCTTTACGAAGCGCCTCCTGTAAGCCGTGTAATGATCAGAACTGCGTCTGTGCTTCAGGCTCAGATGAAGGACCTGCTGCGGGAGCTGGAGGACACGCGTCTGTCCCGCGAGGAGATCCTGGCTCAGAGCAAAGAGAACGAGAAGAAGGTGAAGAGCATGGAGGCCGAGATGATCCAGCTGCAGGAGGTCAGTGTGTGTCTCTCTCCTCAGAGAGCTGAGTCTGCCGTGGCTTCTGTCTGACGCCAGTCTGTGTTCATCTGCAGGAGCTGGCGGCTGCAGAGCGAGCAAAGAGACAAGCCCAGCAGGAGAGAGACGAGCTGCAGGACGAGATCAACAACCAGGCCGCTAAAGGGTGAGCAAACATCACACTGATGATGCATACGTCTTACTGGAAGAAATCAACAATACTATTACAATACTACAAAGAAAAAAAATTTTTTTTATTTTTAATTATTTTTATGGAAGCTTGTTTAATCCAACCAAAAATGTTTTAGAGTTTAAGGAAATGTAATTCAGAAATACCTGGGGGTTTTATTCAAATAAAACAATATTTTCCAGTTTTATGAAGCTTATTGCTTTTTTTCTAAAAGGCATATAAATTATAATGAAACGGATTTGTACAAGATATACAAATAAATAACAATATATATATATTTTTTTATTACTTTCCTCACTGTTTTATTTTATAGACCATTTCAATCTAAAATAAAATAGTTTTTGAGGAAATGTGATTCAGAACTACTCAAAAGAAAAATTAAGAAATAATAATAATATTCTTTGTCAAGTCAAGTCAAGTCACCTTTATTTATATAGCGCTTTTAACAATACAGATTGTGTCAAAGCAACTGAACAGCATTAATTAGGAAAATAGTGTCAATAATGCAAAATGACAATAGTAAACACAAATTTTTCAGTTAAAGACAGTTCATCATTGAATTCAGTGATGTCAACATCCAGCTCAGTTTAAATAGTATCTTTGCAATCAAGTCAACGGTATCGCTGGAAATGAAGTGTCCCCAACTAAGCAAGCCAGAGGCGACAGCGGCAAGGAACCAAAACTCCATCGGTGACAGAATGGAGAAAAAACCTTGGGAGAAACCAGGCTCAGTCGGGGGGCCAGTTCTCCTCTGACCAGACGAACCAGCAGTACGGAAAAATCAATTTAAGACGTAATAAAACAGACGATGAACACTATTAACAGCAATTATTATATGATGCAATCAAACTTATAGCAAAATGTGGTAGTTCTGTATGTTGTTTCAGGGTTGGCATCATCTGAGGTCCTCTGAGGGGTTGGCATCATCTCTTCTCAGGTGTTCTGGATCCAGACTGAAGCTTGTGTAAATCCTAGTTACCACGGGATGTCAATCCCAGCAGAAACAGAGAAACAAATAGAAACATAATTAGCGTAGCTGCTGTTCCAACCAAGCAAAATTGATTTGTTTAACCCAAACTAAAGAATAATAATGTGCATTTGATCAGATATAACTGCAGTAAAAGATTATGAGATGCATTATTTGAATGCTTGGCCAAAGAGATGTGTCTTTAATCTAGATTTAAACAGGGAGAGTGTGTCTGAACCCCGAACGTTATCTTTGTGTTTTTGAAGATTATTGATTTTTCTTTATGATTTCCCTATATAAATGATAACATAAATTCTAAAAATGAAATATAAATTATAATGAAACAGAGTACTTTAAAATACTTTAAAAACACTTTTTGTTATTTATTTTTATATTATTCACACTATTTTAATATTTTATTAAATATTTTTAATCCAAACACTAAACTAAAAATACTACAAAGAAATCATCCATTGTTATGAGAAATATTAATTTTTATATTCAATTGATATATAAATTAGAATGAAACGTATTTCTGAAAAAAAAAAAACTATTTGAAAATAGTTATTTTTATGCCCTATTTTTATTTGCTCTTCTATTTTATTCATTTATGGATTTATGATTTTATTTATTTATTTATTTAGGAAATATGATTCACAACTACTGAAAAGGAATTAAACATTCTTATAAAGTTTTTCCAGAATATTGATTATTTTTAGATAATATTTGATTAATGTAACAGATATATATTGTAATAAAATAACTGAATAAAAAAATCAGTTAAACACTTGGAAGTAAATATTTTTCACAATTCACAATTTTTAAATGTCATTTTAAATTTCATCTTGTATTAGAACTATTTTTTAAAACAAAACAAACCTAAAATAAATAAATAAAAAATAAAAGACTTTTACTTGAAAATAAGTGTTCTATGATTATTTAAAAAAATACACGAGGCACAATTTTGCACAAACACAACTAAAAAAACAGGAGTTAAAATTGGCAGATTTCTACTGGCTGACATAATCTGATATAATAAAGCAATAAGCCCCAAGAAGCCGTGGTTTACAGTGAATTTATAACAGCTAAGGGGTCTTGTTAGGCACGACGTGAAGCGGAGTTATAAAACCCCCTTAGCTGTTATAAATTCACTGTAAACCACGGCTTCATGGGGCTTATTGCTTTTATAAAACGGCTATTCCATATACGTAGTAAGGTTTACAAAATAAAACAGAGCAAATAAAGTGTAATGATATTAATAAAAACAGTATTCTTCCACCAGATAGTTTTCTCAAAATAAGTAAAATGCTCATGAAGTGACTCAGAGCAATTCTAGAGATTGTTTATGTGTTCATGTACTCATATATAGAGGCTGAAAACACCGTGAGCTTCAGTAGGCCTATGTGTAGTAAATGAAACCGCATGTCTGCGCCATTAATTTCCACGAG